GGGTATAGAGCTGAAGATGAATATGATTACTTGTTCAAGTTGAAGGGGGTGCTCATAGCTGACCTTCCCCGATCGTACCCAAGCTCCCGAGCCGAGACAACTCCGGTGATGACGGACATGTGGCCTTCGGCACCGAGTCAGGGTTTCCTAAATTCTCCCATTTTAAAATATTTAGGTGGCGACTCTGTATCTGGCAAAGCAGTCCATGTTTGGCACTACTTTTTCAACAAAATCTGTTTTCTCAAACGATTTGCCAGATTTGGACTCTTTGGTTCAGATTAAGAACCGTGACACAAATCGAGTCCGAACTGTAGCACGAGGCCCCCGCGGGCACTGTCTACAGTGATCTTCCCCAATCGTACCCAAGTTCCCGAGCCGAGGCAACTTTGGTGATGACGGACACGTGGTCTTAGGCAAACGAGTCAGGGTTTCCTAAATTTCCCAAAAATAAAACATTTAGGTGGTGACTATGTATCTGGCAAAGCAGTCCATGTTTGGCACTTCTTTCAAAATCTGTTTTCTCAAAATGATTTGCCGGATTTAGACTCTTTGATTCAGATTTAGAACCGTGACAATTTGAGAGTCCGAACATGTAGTGAGCCCAAATGAACAGAACGAGACTCATCCTCCCGGGGCATTCGGGGATGTCTACAGCATCATACCCTAATTTGGAAGTTGCTAGAGCTTATTACATGCACTAGGTCAGTCTTGGTCAAAATGGGTACCTCAGAGAGACACCGATATACCTACCCAATCTAGTATATCAAGCGGTACGTGGTAATCCCGATTCCAAGGCTTGTGCTCCCACCATGTTAGAGCCAATATCCGTCGATCCGCCCAAAGTCGAATTGTCGTCCAGGATAACAAGTGACAAGCACGGGACTTAAGTACACCGATGTATGCAATGCAATGAACATATAATTGAAAATAGAAAACATATCATGGAGTTTTGAGTCAAGGTTTCTTAATATCCCCAACAGAGTCGCCAGAAACTGTAATATACCCAAGGTACGCGTGTTAACAATTTGGACCCTTGGTATCTTCGATCTAGTCTCACGAGTGCAATGTGAAACATAGATGAGAATCTAGATTTGGAAAATTTTATAAAAATTTATTTTATTACAAAAATATTTTGCTAGAAATGGACTACATTACCAGATCTTGGAGTCGCCACCTAATATGTTTGGAAAATTAGGAAACTCGTGACTCGTGTTAAGGCCATTATTCGTCATAACCAAAGTTGCTTGGCTCGGAATGTTAGGTATGACAAGGGAAGGTCATTAATTGAGCACCCCGCTCAATCGATCAAAGATCGGCCTTTATTAAATCATGATATGAATTTTATTTTATATGTTCATATTCCGGTTATTTAATAAATGCTAAAATTATTATGTGACGCAAACAAGTATAGATTGTGTCATTTATTTTGGAATAATTTGATTTCATGTATTTTTTAAAGCATTTTAAACAACTCGACAGAAACTTGAGTTTGCGACATAAAAATCAATTTTTATTCCAAATTGAACAATATAACCTCCATCCACATGCATTCATAGAGATATATTAAATAAGCACATAGCCACATGGTAGAATGCTAAACATAGTAAGGAAAACACACGCACACAAGATGTTAAAGCATAAAAGCTTACATATTTACCGGCGTCTCGGAAACAATTGCGAAATAAGGTTAGTAAAACATGCATGATTCTGTATACAAGATTCTAATGCAATTCATTCACGATATGTAACTAGTGATTTTGCTTCTAAAATATAACATGTGATTCATATCAAGAACATGAAGCTATGCACAAAATCACATAATAATCGATTAAACTGACAAATGCAAATTTAGCCAAATCAAAATGCATGAAACATTGTTGTAAAGCATAGATATGATGATAAACAAAATATACTACATATGTACAGATAGGAAAAATGAGTAAAAGAATGGGATAGAAAGAAGCGGGGTGGCAAAATATTAGAACATTTGAATATTACAAATCCAAATAGGGGGAAAGAAACAAAATATCACAACAAGATATATCCTCACAGATCTCTCTTAAATTAAAAGAAAAACAGAAGCTTCAGGGGGTCTTGGAGATCGTTAAAGACTGTTCTGCACAACGCTAGAAAGCTGCTGGGTTTTGTCCAAGAGAATTTGTTTGGTTGGCCAAAAGATGAGTTGGCCGACCAAAAAGTTGGTCGGTCGGCCAATAAAGCTAGGCTGAAAGCTCTGTTTTGTTCAAATACCAAAAAAACAAACAGAAAATATACATGTGGCTCAATTAACCACTTCTAGTCAGCTTACAACAGATTTATAACATGAAATTGAAGCGCAAAAAAAAAAAAAAGAAAAAAAAAAAAAAGAAAAAACAATACAAGAAAGAAAAAGCAAGAAAGCAAAAGAAAATGGAAAGTGAGCAAAATTTACCTTCCAAGGAAATATTTGATTTCAAAATTTGTTTTTGATCTCCCTTAAGCTTAAGAAGTGTGTTCTCAATTCTCAGTTCAAAATATCGAAATTCTAGTTGGAGTGATGTTTTTGGGCTATTTAACAGTTTTGGGGGGATGGGGGAGTTGTTCAAACTCTATGTTTTTTCTCTCAATTTCAACAACACTCACTTTCTTTTGATCCAAGCTACTTGATTATGGCTATATTAGAATTTATGGGCTTGGTTTGATATATTGAAAGATTATATATCAGTGTGTATGGAAATTTTGGCTCAAAACTTAAGCTTTATCTCTTTTCCTCTCTAACTCTCAATTCACTCTCCTGATTTCATTCCCATTCTCTTCTTTTCTGATCCTCTCTATCTTTATAAGCAATCAAGGAAATCTCCTAAGTCAAGGAGGTGAGAGACAAGGATGATGGAGTGATAAGGGTGGTTGCCTTAGATGCTCCTTTGGGGGTAGAAGACAATCTCCCTTTTGACTATGGAGGCAAATGATGGATAATAAAGGGGGCCTAGACACATCGTGTGCATGAATATAACAAGAAAGAATCTGAAATGTCATGACCCACACACTTTCATTAAGAATTCAGCCGAAACTGCCATGCTCTTGAGCAAATTAGACGGTCGGCCAATATATGGGCTGGTCGGCTAAAAACCTGGCTGGCTGGCTGGCTAATTTCTCTGCTAGCTAGCCAATTATTTGGCTGGCCAGGCAAAAGGATGGCCGGCCGGCCAGCCAAGTGGCCGATCAATCAGCCAAAAAGGTTAGTTGTGGTTGACTATTTTGCTCGAAATAGGATTTTCCAACATAATTCTTGTCCTTTCTTCATATTTTCACACTGTTCTTTGCTTAATTTCTTAAGAAAATTTTCATTTTGAAGTTTAAAAGTGAGCCTTGGAACACTACAAAAATATTTAGAATAAAGCGCGGAAAGAAAGTTTCAAAAGAGAATTTTGAATAGGATTTAAACACTTGGCCAAAACAGGTTTAGATTTGGAAATGAAGCACAAATTTCATTTTGTTATTGAGAATTTTGTGAAAAATACATTCTGATTTTCATCATCGGATCATCAAAAGAAAGCACTCAAGTCTTAGGGACAATCAAAATGTGGTGTCTACAAATAGTTTGGTCATTTTACATGAGCATGTCCTTATAGACAAAATATTTTTAAGCCTAGACTTTCGGACAAGGAAAATTCAAATTTGATCTTTTGGACCGAAAATCCAAAAAATATTTAAATTTTTTGTAATGACTTTTGACTAAAATTTTAGATTGTCAAAATAGAATATGAATTAATAATGATGTGACATAATGTACTTGTTACTTAAAAGAAAACATCGATAAAAACAACTTTTATTTCTAAGAATGTTATTATTACATTATTTTTATAAAGAAATTTGTATAATTTTTATATAAGAATAAAGGTTTTCATCTAACACATTGAGAACCATGCCTTAGGGGTGTAATTTGGTCTCGGGTTCCCACTAAAATTCAGACCGGATTGGGTCGGGTTAGCTTACGGGCCAAAAAATTAAGCCCAAGTCCAGCCCAAGGGTATTCGAGTCTCGGGCGGGCCTGACGGGCTTTGGGCCTGGGCCTGGGTTCGAGTTCGGGCCGAGATTGAACATTTTATTCATTTATTTTTATTTTTTCTACCAATTTTTTTTTCTACTAAGGCCAAGTTTGGGAAGACTAAATAAGTGTACTTTTTGTCTTTTTGGACTAAAAAATTGAGATTGAAAATATGGATGTTTGGGTTAACTTTTTGACTTTTTATGAAAAAATGTGTAATAAAAAATTGTAAAAATTGGTTTGTAGAGGAAAATTTAAATTGGGAGTTGTGCAGCCGTAATTGTTGACTTTTGGTGAATAGTGTTAACTTTTTAACTTTTTTAGTAACTTTTTGACTTTTTGACTTATTTGGGACTTCCCAAACTTAGCCTAAAAATGACATTAAATCTTGAGCGGGACAGAGCTTGAATGGGTTTTGAGCGGATTGATAGACTACGTTAGACGAGTTGGACCTACAACCGAAGTCCAAATCCAAGATTCTAAGGCGGACTTAAGCTCAGGCCTAACTGAGTTGAGCCCATAGATTGAGTTGTTTTTCCACCAATCAAAAAAGCCAAACAGTGATTGGCTTTTCTTTTTGAAAGATGAGCCTCACACTATACATGTATATTCTGAATAACATTTTGTATGTACTTAAGCTTAGAAGCATATTATTTTAATAATTTTTTAATTTTTTATTAAAATATAAGATAAAAAAAATTAAGATTTTTAAACTAAAATATTGTGTTGCGAAACGATATCTTATTGTATCTAAAATTTGATACTTTAAGGCTTTATTTTGCATAATCTAAAAAAGTCAAAAAGTTAAAAAATCACTATCCTATTTAAATCACATCATCTTATTTAAATCACATCACTTCTCTAACGCATCACATCAAACTCAATCCAAACCCAACCCATATAAGCTAATAAGTCAAAAAATACACTTTTTTAGAACATCTCAAACCAATCCTAAATTTCATTATAACATATATTAACAATAAAAACATTAAGAAATTATTATTAAAAAAAAAAAAAGATAATACATTGCAATTAGCAAAAATATTACAGGTGTTACATGGCCCCTTGGAAAGAGCTTCCCAAGTCTAATCCTAATTTACAAGTCCAACAAAAAAAACAAAAAACAAAAAATAAAAAACAAAAAAAAAAAAATAAATAAATAAATCTCCATCATATCCCCTAGAGAGAGAAAGTGAGGATGAGAGAGAGATTGAGATTGAGAAACTTTCCCAAATTCTATCATGTTCTTGAATGTCTCCCAAAATTTCAACAAAGAAAATAAATTCCAAAACTAAACAACATCATCTCTGTTCCTCCTAAACAGTGCAACGTATACTAATACGGCACAAATGGCGGCGACAACATTCCCTTCCCTGATCAAGATCTTGACCACAAACCCAACAATCTCAAACGTCAATTTCTTGCCTTCATCCACCAGAGCGGTCCGTGGCTTCCCACAGAAGGCCAGCAGCACCAGCACCGTTACCCACGTCACCATGGTGGCCGGAACCGCCACGGCGAGGGCGGCCGCCATGGAGAGGAGGCCGAACAGAGCACCCAGCGCCACCGAAGCGTAGAGAGCAGAAGATGAGGAAGCGGTTGTTTCGTACCATGAGAGTATGGATTTAAGGATGTTCCATGAGGATGATAAGAGAACAGTGTAGACCACGATGAACAGACATGCCCATGTTCTTCTTTTACTCATCAATCTTATTATCAACATCGATGAGGACGAGGATGTTGATGTTGTTGGAGATGCTGATTGTTCTTCTTCTTCTTCTTCTTCTTCTTCTTCTTCTTCAGCCATGGATGATTTTGTAGTTGTGGATTGATTTTGTAGACTCTTTTCACTCTTTCTTTCTTTCTGTGGTTTTGTTTGGTGTGTTTTTTTTTTGTTTTTTAGGTGGACTTTTGGGGGTTTTGTGTTGGTGAATTGCAGCAGATATTACTTAGATGGATGGAGGACACGCGCTTTCATGTCTTTTTGGAATTTTTTTCAAGAAATCTACTGTAGAAAAAGTTTGATTTTGCCTTGAACAATTAAATTAAAAAAAAAAAAAAATCCAACTATGAAAAATAATATACAACTTACTTTTTGAATTTACTTTCTAAATTTAATGGTGTATAATTAAGAAAGGTATGAGAAATATATTTTAGATATTTAATAGGATTATTTATACAGAAACCACTTAATTTAATAAATATATTGACCTCTTAAATTATTAAAAAGTATCAATTTTGCCTTTTAAATTATAAAAAAAGTAAAAAAATAGACTCTTTAAATTGTTAACGTGTTTTACTTTGATCCATTCCGTTAACGATTCAATTTGTACGTTTTTATAATTTAAAAACATTTGTACAATTTTATAATTTAAAAAATAAAGTGATATTTCTCAATTATTTGGAATCTTAATGTAAATCACCTTATTTAATATACTATCACAGCATTTGAGGGTTTTAATGACTTCTTAAACACAATAATAATTTTTTTAATTTCTAAAAAAGTCAAATAAATAAATAAACCTCAAACATCCATTTATAAAGTTAGTGTAGTAAGGGAGTTAGTGGCCAAATAGCTCGCTAATGATCCGTTTAGAATGTAAGTTGATTTTTTTATTTTTTAATTATTTTAGTTTGTGATTAAAAAATCTAGTGTGAGATGGATCTTTTAGTTTTTTTTTTTTTTTTACTTTTGTGAGAAAAAAAAATGAAACGATTATGATTTAGATATGACAATTTATTTAATTGAGTTAAAAAGTTTATTTTGTCTTTTTGTAATTATTTTAACCGAAAAATTTCATTTTAACTCATATCAAACGATGACTAAGGGCTCATTTGGAAACACCTTTTGTTTAGTAACTTTATAATTTTTTGACTAAAGTATGATAAAAAAAACTAGTACGTTTGAAATGACTTTTTAATTTTTTACAAAAAAATGTGTAAAAAGTAGAGAAAAAATAAAATTTTTAACTTTTTAATATATATTGTTAATTTTTTAATTTTTTTATAGTAATTTTTTAACTTTTAAATTAAAAAATAATGTTGAAGTCTACTTGATTCGCTTATATGGCCCAAATATTATTTAAATTAAAAAATAATAGTTTGAGCTCAAAGTTATTTAAATAATAGTTTGAGCTCAAAATTATTTTAAATTAAAAAATAATTTTGACTTTTTAATATATGGCCCAAATATTATTTAATATAAATATTGATTTAATCATTTAGGCCATGTGGATGGGTTTAAAATTTAATTTATTTTAAAATATGAAAACTAATATTTATATTAAATAATATTTGGGCCATGTGGATGGGTTTAAAATTTTGTATTTTGTTTTGAACATGTTTGGAAGTAAAGTGTAAGCTGAATTTACTAAATAACTTCAAATATTATTATGTAATATAAACACGGCCCAAAGCCACCAAAGTCCGGCCCATGTTCATTCCTATGTTGAACATCTTTTAAAATGACTAACCAAACTATTGTTTTAACCGATCATTTTTCCTATACATATTTTAATAATAGTCTCTACTTTAGATAAATGGTCTCTCTCATGTTACCTTACTATCCTCTCCATAAGCAAATCTAATTTAGAGACCACACATTTAATTTATAAATTCACCCAAAATATTAGATACCCACATATTTAATTTATAAATTCACCCAGAATGATGTGATAAGGAAATTGGACCCTCAAATATTAAGTGTATAACAAATCAAAAGTTAATATTTATCATGACACATTATTGTAAGTAAAGTGTAAGAATTTTTTGAGTCTCAAACATATTCCAATCCACCTTCAATTTACCTCATCAAAAGGTCCATGGCCCATGGGTCACCGAGAGCTTGAGCCCGAACTAGTGCCCTAGCTCAGAATCGAGTTGGGATTAGGTCAAATAATAAGGCCCCAAGGCTTGACCCATAAGCCAAGACAAAGGCCCATATTAAGTTCATATATATTGTTTTTTTCTCTACTTTTTTTTAAAAAAAAATTTATTTAATAAAACACTAGTACTAAAATTGATAAATTAAGTAACACACCAATTATGAAACTAGTAATTATATTTTCAAAAAATTAAAGATGCATACCATTTAATAATATAATTATAATGAATGTAATTATGTAATTCAATAAATAAAGTAAAGTTTCTTTTATTATTTTTCATGATTCAATTTTCAATTCTATTATCATAATGCATTTCAAAAACTTTGTATTTTTTAATTATTTTGACTATAATAAGAAAAGCCCACCAAAACGCCCATGTTAGGCCCATGTGGGCCAGGCCAGCTCAAAGTTTATAATTCTATATTTTAGCCCATGGGCAGGACTTTAGGCGTTAGAAAATTGCATGGCCAACTCAAGCTTGACCCACTGACTGGTTAAAGTCTATGAGCTTGACCCAGGCCTTAAATTTTCAGTCTAACTCAACCCGGCCCATCATCAAGAATTATCTTTGTGGGAGCCGAAAAGAGATACACCTAAAACGGCAAACAGAGCATCTATGCCCATCTAAGATAGGTTGAATGAAGCTAAAGCCCACTAGACTGAAAGCCATTGCTGAATAAACATGAAAGACAATAAAGAACATCGAGTTAAGGGTACTTGTGTCGTGCATCAGAGTCGAGTATGTCAGGAAAATCGGCATGGTCCAATTAGGTGGAATCAGATTGTCCCTTTCAAGAAAGTATAATAGGGAGATGGGCCCTAACAGAGTGATGATGGAGAGCTAAGTTGTATGGAGAAGGTATTAAGGAAAGTGACTCTATAAAAGGAGGAGGGAGGCTGAAGGAGCAGGTATGTGCTAAAAACCTTGGACGTCAAGAAACCAGAAAACACCAATCTTTATATAGAAACTAACTTGCATGTTAGATTGTTAATTCTGGCACCACTGACCGAAGTTCTATTTCTGTTCCAGGTGACAGCTGGAAAGATCCTACAATGGCTTGTTTGGATTGAAAAAGTATTACAAAACCACCTACTCACAATTGGCGCCGTCTGTGGGAATACTCAAACTCATGCATGGCAAATCCAAACCAAGATCCTCCAGTTATCAGAGTTGATAATGCTACAGCAAGAGTAACTTTAGGTCCAGAAGCAACCTCGTAAGGAGGTCTCTGAATTTTGACTCGCTAACCCCATTTCAGCCTTTAACATCCACAGAGGATGCCATGCAAACATTGATGAGTCAGATGCAACGTAGTGAACAACGTCTCGAAGACATGGCAGCAGAGAACAAGCCCCTATGTTAAGAGTTGGCAAAGTCCCAACAATTGCCACCTCTCCTCAAGCGCGGTCCGTTGCCACGAGTGCAGAAGAGGCGACAACGTCAGCGTCGGGGGCACGGTAGCAATACGTCAGATTCCTCTTGCGAAAAACCCAGAAAGTGAGGCCAAATAGACATATCTAGCTCATCAGATGGTGGAAGTCCTTTGCAAGTGCGACGCAGACGTAAAAAAAGCGACGATAATTCAGATTTAGAGGACAAGCATGATCCTTTCATATGACGTATTGCCAAAGTCGTATTGCCTAGAAGTTTAAAGCACCATCGTTTACTCTTTACGATCGAAAGTCAGACCCGACGGATCATGTTCGTCATTACAAGCAAGCAATGACACTGCATACAGACGACGAGGCATTCATGTGTTGAATATTCCCCAGTAGTTTGGGACCGCTCGCTGTCAGATGATATTACAAGCTTAAGCTGGCTTTGATTGAGAGTTTTTATCAATTCCAAATATCATCCAGGGCTAGATTCATCACCAATAAGACCTAGCCGAAACAAGCAGACTCTTTGTGGGCAATGAAAATCAAGCTAAACGAGACTTTGCGTAAGTACTCAACGCGATATTGGGAGTGCTTTAATTTAGTGGATGACGATTGCAACGACTCCATGGCAATCACTGCCTTCAAGATGGAATTACATCTTGTTAGCTCGCTCAGGAGTTTGTTGACTTGAAAGTCCCCCAAGACAGTCTAGGCCCTGATAAAGAAGGTCGAAGAATATTGCAAAGTAGAAAATGATGCAATTCGAGTTAAAGCCGGCCTACATACTACGGATTCAGCAACACCTATCTTGGTGCAGCTGCTAACTACTACACCGCCGAATAAAACCCCAAGGAGCCTAAAGCCAAGAAGCCGATCAAGAAGGGAGAAGTGTCGAGATTCGCACCGACAGAATGAACAATATCAGGTGGAAAATAGGCACTCTAGGTGATCAGATAAGAAATACACAAACAATATTAGGTGGAAAATAGTCACTCTAGGCAGTCAGATAAGAAATACACGGAACTGTCTGAGCCGATCAGTGAGATTCTACCAAAAATTCAACATTTCATTTTCTTCAAATGGCCAACAAAGATGTCTGGGCCCCCAAACATAAGACGGAGAGACCTGAGATGCAAGTATCACAAAGACTATGGGCATGCGACTGAAAAATGTTATGCCTTGAAAGATCATTTGGAAGACCTGGTCTAGTGTGGCTGACAAACAGAATACCTTCCAAAAAAGGTTAGCTCACCAAGTGTACTTGTCGTATGCCCCGATTCACCTCAACTCGGCATAATCCACATGATATATAGATTACCCCCCGCCAAACAGGCTGAATACAATCTAGTCACAACAATCCTCCCAACCTAGGTCTAAGCCCAGTATATTAACCAAAAGACCGCGATTGTCAAATGAAATTAGCTTTTTCGATGCGATCTTGAAGGGGTCACCGTGCCTCATGATGACGCCCTCGTGATTAAGTTGTGAGTAAATAAGTTCGCCATTGGGCGTATCCTAGTTGACCAAGGGAGCACCTCTGAAATAATGTACTACAAAACATTTCTTAAACTCGGCTTTAAGGATATGGATTTCATGTCGGACGGCTACCCTCTTTTCAGCTTTAACGATGCGTACAAGCACCAAGACGCTAGAGGTTCAATTCCTAGTCATCAAGCTTTCATCACCTTACAGCATAATCA